CTGCGCTGAGCTTTAGCATAGCAGAACACATCATAGCATAGCATGGCGTAGCATAGCATAGCGCAGCACAGCATATCGCAGCATTGCCCAGCACAACAGAGCACAGCGCAGCATAGCATAGCATAGCATAGCATGGCATGGCATAGCATAGCGCAGCGCAGCACAGCACAGCGCAGCATAGTGCAGCATAGCTTAGCCTAGCAAATCATAGCAGCAAAGCAAAGGCAGAGCAACAGCAGCGACAGCAAAGCAAAGCACAAGCAACGCAAAGCAAAGCAAAGCAAAAGCGAAAGCAAACGCAAAAGCAAAGGAAAGGCAAGGCAAAGCAAAAGCAACCCGTGCTGTGCAGGTGCTGTAGGCCTGCCCGTGTCTCTTGGTGCGTCTCATGGAGGCCTGTCTCTTTGCACGGTGCTGCACAGCCCGTGCTGCGCAGTCCCCGTGCTGCACAAATCGGGCGATGAGAGCGTCACTTTCCACGGTGCTGCACAGCCCGTGTCTCTTGGGTGCTGCACAACCCGTGCTGTGCAGGTGCTGTAGGCCTGCCCGTGTCTCTTGGTGCGTCTCATGGAGGCCTGTCTCTTTCCACGGTGCTGCACAGCCCGTGCTGCGCAGTCCCCGTGCTGCACAGCCCGAGCAGTCTTCTGTGTAGGTACGGTCTAGCCGATGCATGGATTGACGCATGGATTAGCTGATAACATACACACATACATACATACATACGTCCATACATACATACATACATACATACATACATACATACATACATACATACATACACACACACACATACATACATACATACAGACAGACAGACAGACAGACAGACAGACAGACAGACAGACAGACAGACAGACAGACATACACATTTACATGCATGCATGCATACATACATACATACATGCATGCAAACATACACATACGCATGCATACATACACCTATAAACATATACATCTATACACCGATACATGCATAGATACATACATGCATGCATACATGCGTACGTACGCACATACGCACATACATACATACACACGTACGTACATACATGATGATGTTTATGCACCACCTTCTTCGGCCCCTCTGGGGACCCTTCTCGTAGCCAGCGCTGCAGTCGCCTCGAGATTCTGGTCATGGGGGTGCCCGGGAGACCAGGGTTTGATTAGTGTTGTCGGTCTCTGTTTCGGTACAACGAGATGTGTGTGTGTGTGTTAACCTTGGATTCCGGACCCTCATTGAGGGGGGTGGGGGTCTCATTGAAGCCGCCCTCTCTTCATCCTCCGCGCCTGCTCTGGTAGCCCCCCCCAGCCTCCAGGAGGCCTCGGGCCCCGCCTCACACGGCGCCCCCTCTCGGGATATCTCAAGGGGCCCTCCAGGGAAGCCCTGGCGAGAGTTCCATTGTGAAGGACGAGCCCCCCCCAGCCGGGGCCAGGGCCGGGTCCAGACTCCCGGCTGTTGAGTAGATGTAGATGTAGATGTAGTCTCGCTGTTGATGTTTCATGTAGAAGCAGGTGTGTAGATATTAATGTAGCTGTCGGTGTAGATGTGGATGTTGCTTTCCTAGATGCTCCGACTCCTAGGTAGGGTCGCACAGGGATGATTACTTTTACCATTTTTGAATTTTCCTCCTGTAGATGGACAGGCCCGATTTAACCCTAACCATCCCTGCCCAAACACGAAATACAAAGCGACCGTTGGCCTCCCGCGCATGGTGCCCATGATCCTGTCGCAGAGAACACTGTGCAGTGTTCCTGTGTCGGGGATCGTGGGTCTGCGCGCACCAGTCGACGTACTGGCACCCCCGCCGTCCCAGACAAAAAAATCGGACGTAGAATGATCGCGCCCCCCCGCGCCTGGTACGAGATTTAGCCGCAACGTGCACTTTGCATTCTGTGGGGCAGGGTGGCGAAGGGGGCGGGGGTCGGCACTACTAATAAGAAGCAGTGGTCAAGCTATCCCCACGAAGGACGGCCGTCTCGCTCACTCTCACGGGCCCTCCCACTACACAAATTGCACCCGCGATTCCGCATCCGCAGGTGCCGTCCTCGACAGGAGTCGGGAACCAGAGCAGACGCCAGCTGGGTGCGCAAGGCCCGCGAGGTGCACCACGGGTGCCACGGCACCTCCGTCATCTCCGTCTGATAACAGTGCAAACTAAACGTGGATCGCCCGCGCAAGTTCCAAGGTTGCTGCTGCAAGTTTCTTCGTCGGCGGCGAGGCAGAGGCAATCCGCTCCAGCGTGTGGATAATCGGGGCAACCGAAATGCGAATTGTCCGGCGTGCAAGAGGCAGGAAAAGGACGAGGGCGGCCGCGCGGGGGGAGGTGGGGGAGCGCCCAGAATTGCTGCCGTCAAATGCGCTTTGCATTTGTGCTGACAAGGATGGTGGGCCTGCACACGCCAGGCGATAGTATGAAACCCTGCCGCACCTGTCAAATGATTACTTCGTGAAGCGATCGCGGGCCGCCCAAACACGATCAGCATCTAGCCGCAGACTGTCTCCTGTATGTTCGAGACATGGATGGTGGGGGGAAGTACCTGCATTGGCCCTGGTTCCAAGCTGGCAGAGCGGGGGAGGGGTGCACATCGTTAAGGAGCAGCGGTCAAGTTCCCAGCGAGAACGCCAGGGGCTGCCTGGCTCGCTCCCACCTGCGAGTCGCACCAGAGACTCAGCGCACAGTGGGCTGGAGTCGCCATCGGATCGGCAGCCATGGGGAGCCAAGGACAGACGCCGAAAGCACCGCGCTCGCGAGGTGCGCCACGTCTGCCGGGTGTACCAAGTGCGCCACGCGCGCCAGGTGTGCCAGGTGCTCTCAGGGGCCCACGCGCAGCAGGCGCGCCAGATGCATCATGCATGTGCGCCAGGTGTGCCATATGCTCCAGGCGCTACAGGTGTCCCGTGTGCTCAGGGTTCGCCAGGTACCTCGGCGCACGTGGCAGCACACATCCAGGAGCGCGTCGCCATCCCCAGGGACCCCCGCGTCCAGGCTTTTAGCACCCTCTGCGCTCATTCCCAGGGGGTCATGCCACAACGGTTGCACCAAGGATTTGGTACGTGCCTGAGGGAATAAGAACACATGTTCTAAACTGATCGCCCACCTCACCCGTGAAGTGGTGCATGTTTAATGGGCAAACCCACCCACCCACCCACCCACCATCCCGCCAGCTGGAGCCCCAGACCTGCCGAGGTCTCTTCCCATGCCTGCTTTACCAGATTTTGCGCGAAATCAGGCATCACTCGATATGCGTCGGTGGGGACTTGATGGCCCGACGCTGAAAGTGCATCCCCAGCTTTATCAAAACAGGCACGAACACACGCTGCGGAAACTCTCTTGGGGGCCCCAAAACCATTTGGTGGCACCCCGTGTGGTGACCTCGAAACCGCTACGGGACCTCACCGCGCGGTCCGTCGCCTCCGCGGCCTCGACCGCGGAGGCCCCCCATCGCCCGAGAGACGTCCTCGGAGCACGACCCGAGCCCCGACGCCGCGCGGCGATCCCAAATCCCCACGGGCTCGCCGCGCGGTGTGCTCACCCCTGCACCGTTTGGGGGGCCCCCGCCTCTCGCGCGGGACCTGGCGGCCCACACGGGTCGCCGGGACGGCGACGCCCCGGGCAACCCTCCGGGGGCGGAGCCCCCCCGGGACCCCTCCGGCCGCGCGCAGCCGCCCACAGCGCTCCGGCGGGTGCGCGGCGGGCCGCCGTGGGGAGCCGCACGGCAGGGTGTCGTGCGCCTCGGCGGCTGCGGAGGTTGCCACCGATCCAGAGGGGCAGCGCTTTCGGGGATGGACCCCCCTTTAGCAAAACGTGGTTTAGTGAAAACGACCTGAGGCCCAAAAACCTGGCGGGCGCAAGCCTGGAAAATAACGGCCACGGCGCCCTCTCGAAAACCGAAAACGGACAATTCACTAATCGACGTGTCACTGTTGGGGGTTCTGTCCACCCCGACGCTTCCAAACTCCTAGTTTTCGGGGAGTGGGCTGCATCTGCCCCTTCCTTCCCTGCGCCGGAAGACCGCGCCCCCGCGCCCAGCGAAGCCTCCTCTCAGAGCCTCCTTGGGGGGGGGGCCCTGGGGGGCTGCTCACGGGTCTCTGGGTGCCTCTTGGGGCCCTCGGGGGGCTCTGGAGGCATCTTGGAAGCGTCTTGGACCTCCTGGGGCTGTTTTGGGGCCTGTTGGGCGCCAAGGGCGCTTGCCCTTGTTGGCATTCTCGGGCTTGGGAGTGGTTCGGGCCCCCTTGGGGCTCTCCTGGGGGGCCTTCTTGGGGGGCTTTCGGGGGGGGGGCGCACTGGGCCCCTCGCGGGGGTAGACCCGACCCTGGGTCTACAGACGGAGGTGAAAGCGCGCTTGGACCCTCGTACCCTCCCCCCCACGTTGTCACAAGGCGGCCAGTCCCCGACAGCACGTGCTACGGCCATCAGCTGAAGCTGGCCCGCAGGTCACTCTCTGAAACATGCTGCGGTGCTCTCCACGAAAAGGCAGCTGTCGTGACAACACCTCGCAGGAGGCCCGTCGGCCCGTCAACACCGCTCTGGCCGCAGCCACGGAGGACAACTGGCACATCGGAGCCAGAACTTCAAGAGTCTGCGTCGAGCTCCGAGTGCTGGACCGGGCCCCCCCCCCTCCTCCCAAAACCATCGGGCTCACAGGGGGTCGTGACATGACTGCGTACCTGCTCGGGGGGGTGGGTGGGGGAGCCGCCGGAACTTTGACAGACTGCCAGCTTCCGCTGGAGGGATCCCAAAGAGCTTCGAGGTGACGGAACCGGAGGAACTTCGGAAGGGGGACAGTCTAACGGGCGCCCAGAACATCAGCAGAGCCAGGCGCGTCAAGCGCCAGGGCGTTCGCGAAATCAGATGCGCCCAAGAGCGGGCATTCGCTTCAGTTTGCTTCGAGCCTGCTTCGACTGAAGAGTACGGAGACAGCAAGACTAACCCGACTTGAAATCAACTTCGATGCTCCTCCTTGTTCAGGGCTCGGCAGCTTGCATAGCCCCAAAGGCAGACCAATAAGGTTCGGAACTCCGCAGTGTCCACCAGCGGCTGCGACTTGTCGGTCCACTCGCCCTTGGCGAGCGCCTTCGCACACTCAGGGCTGTGTGTGGCTGGGGAGCAGAGACCAGAGACAGAGCGAAAAGACATGCACCCTAAGACCACAGGCTGAAAGCTCTCTATAGATTGGCGACTTCATCCCCCAAGCTGAAATTCAGCGCAACCGATGGCGTGATACTCGAGCATCCAGTATCGACATCTCGGACCCTCGGGGCGTTTTCACAGGGTGCGATACGTTGACCTGGTGCCTCCGCATGCTTACGGAGGCCAACTTTGACCACCCACCCCGCCAGATACAGCAGTGCAAGCTCATGTCAGATTGCGGCACAAGGCTCGTAGCACGAGCGGCTGAAGTGCCCGCGGAAACCAAGGTAGTAGTAGGAATTGGTGTCGGTGTTTGTGGGAATCACATTGTTGACGGAATGGCGATCGAAGTGGTGGAAGTACTCACAGCAGCAGTAGCACCGGATGGAGCACCGCTCTTGTTTGTTAAACGCTTACCCTGGAAATGCGGGCACGCTCAACTGTAGCCGAACGGTGCAGGTGGAACCATGCGAACTGCCCCAAAAGCGCTGGCACCGAGGAGAATCCGAATCTTCTTCCTCAAGTTACCCCGCCCCCCCCCGTTGGCAGAATCTTCGACCCTCGAAGGCCAGGCCCTCTCTGGAGCACCGCGAGGAAGCCTGCTTATGAAAGGACCCAGGTCCCTGACGGACCCATTCCCCGGGACGGGTGGTCCATCCTGAGCCGTTGCCTGACGACCCCGCGACTCGGGAAGGGCCCCCTAAGGCCGAGAATTGCAAAAAACCTCGCGTCGTGATTTCGTCACGACTCGAGGGGGTCTGGGAAACTGGTGGGGGCGACGCCCAGGCGGGGCCCGGCGTCGCCTGGGTGCTCGCGTGGGGTTGCTCGGGGCTGCCCGGGGCTGCCCAGGGTTCCTCGGGGTGGTCATGGGCAGAAGGACGGATGTAGACCAACCTCCGGGGGATAAAAGCGAATGGGGGGCCAAGGAACTTGCACTGGGAGTCGAGGAACCTCATGTTACGATGCTCATGTCGATTGCACTGAGGTTCGACTTGCACTTCGATCGCAGCTCGGCTTGCCTGTCGACCTGGATTTCGATGGCAGTGCCATTCGCACACAGATTTATAAATCTGCGTGAGAATGGCACTGCAATCGGAAGGCAGATCGGCATCTAAATATTTAGATGCCGATCTGCCTTCCGATCGCAATTGGAATTGCATCCCGACTTGCATCCAGGCTCGCATTCCGATGTGCAATTAGATGTGCATGTCGATGGTCGTGTCTACGTACATTCCGATTTGCATTGCGACTTGCATTCAGAATTGCATCCAGCTGTACAATCCAATTTTCATGTCGCCATGCTCCATGTTGCATGTTGATTGCAAGTGACTCTGGCTTCCGATGTGCCTTAGCATTTTCTGGACAGTATCGGTTAGCATGTCGGCTGCAACTGGATCCGCATCTCAATTCACTGTTCGCATTACAAATCAATGTGACCTTGATATTCATTTTGAATTGGATGTGCATCTGTACTTCGGCTGGCATTTCGACTTGCAGCTAATTCGAAATTTATTCCATTTCAATGGACATCCCACGGCCCAGCCACGAGACAGCACATGGGCAAGCATGGGGCATCCCACGGGACAACCACAGGAAGACCCACGGGACAACACTCGGGACAACCGCGGGACAACCCGTGGGACAGCAACCATACAGTGGAGGTCAGTCCACAAGAAATCTTCCACAAGAAACCCAACCCTGAGACCCCAGGACGACCATGGATTTTTGGTGTGAGCACGTCACGCTCTTCATGGTAAAACCATCGAAACCCAAGAAGCCCAGGGCACCTCGGAGGCGATCAGGGTGTTTCTTGGAATGGACCCCGCTGCAAGACAACCCATCGGAAAACCGAGGGACAACACACAAGGCAATCGCGGAACAACCACTGGATAACAGAGGGACAAACCGCGGCAAAGAGCCGCGCAGCGAGAAAAAAAACGTTGTTCCACGACTTGGCCCTCACTGCGCTGGCACATCGTCGCCCTCGCGCAGCTTCGCCTCCCCCCCCCCACGCACACATCACGAAGCGATAGCGGGCGGAACCGAATTCCCTGTCGGCGTCACTTCGCTCTCGCCCACCAACCCCTGGTACTAAACAAGTAGAAGGGTGGTTAGACAGCCAGGCTGTTGCCCACATAGTCAAATTGGTACACGGATACGGTAGAGGGAAACAATTACTGAACACTCCCCCTCCCCCTCAAAGTCCAAGTTGGCACGCGCGGGGGAGACTGCGGTCGAGGTGCAACTCATCAGACCCACCGCCAACTTTGAACATTGGGGGGGGAGGGAGGCGTTGACTGATAGATGTGGCAGGAGCGTTCGTTATTTTTTCCGAGGCTCAGATGGGTGATTAGACAGCCAGGCCGCTGCTCAGACAGTCAGATCGGTACATCGACAGCGTGGGCGATCCGACGCGGGGCCATGTAGAAATGGAACCTGCTCACGTCCAACCTCGCAACCTTCTTATCACCCGAACGGCAGCCTATGAGGTGTGGAACCAAATCGCCCGCGAACGCGCCGCAGGCGCCGAATGGAGTGTCCTCAGGCAGGCCTATTCGGCACGACCTTGCTGCGTACAGCAAGGACTATCTTAAGCCTCAGGCTTCAACTCGCGCGCTTCTGGGGTCCGTGGCTCATCCAGAGGCCCTGGGAGCGTGGTTCAAAGTTTTAAACCTCCGTGCCGTCAGAGACCCAGGGGCCCGTCTTGGAGCCTGACGTGGGATCTCTTCGCCATCTTGGATGACCCCGGTCCTGGCCCAAGAGGGCAAGTCTGGTTATTCCAACACATGTTTGTCTGCTGGGGCAAGGCTTTTGCGTTTCGTGTGCTCGGTCTTGCGAGCGTCCAGGACTTTCATCCGTCCAGTCTTGAGAACGTCCAAGACGGTCTAGGAGGCTCCAGAGATCCGCCAGTACGGCCCCCCAAACCTGCGACAGAAGCCCAAGATGGAAACCTCAAACTGAGTTGTGATCCCTCTACTCAAGCAGATGTTCCCGAGACCGCCACCAGCCCCCCAGGAGGTGCCCATGAGGTCATCAGGGGCTCCGTAGAGGCCCCCAGAAGTCCGCCAGAGGCCCGAAGATGACCAGAAGAGGCGCCCAAGAGGACTCCACGCGGCCGCAGCAGACCTCGAAGCAGAGTCTTGTCCATTACCCCGATAAACGGTAATTCGCTAGCACTTGGAATCGGTCTTATTATATTTGGCAATAGCCGAACAGGCAACGTAGACTACATCACATTTGGCTAGGATTTCATCCATGGCACCAGGCGGCTTTAACCTAGTGTAAATTCCACGGGTGAAAATTCGGGGCCCACGCGGTGACATCAGCCATGACAACGTACGAATCTCTGCTGGTGAACACTCACGCGTTTGGGGGAAGCGGCGCTTGGACGAGGGGGAACCTCCATTGGGACAGCTCCATGGCCTGAACGCACACTCAACATGGATCGTGGGAAGCACGATGCGGGACACGTAAACGTAGAAAGCAAAGACGCAATCAAAGATACCCTCCCCCCTCGTTCTCCTTCCACAGCCAGAACCGACAGCAGACACGAACTTCTGAGACCCGCGTGCGCTGGAAAGGCAACGGGATCCGATCGATCACACGACCGCATCGGTGATCACCCAGCGTGGGGGAGGCCCAGATCCTGGGCCCCCCCAGACACCCAGAGGCCGATCGTGCCGCACACCTCCTCCCCTGCGCCGCTCCCCCTCATCTCTCGCGTCGCCCCCTCCGCCTCATCACCCCGACCAGTGAAGTCGCCCCCCCCTCCGCATCAAGGTTGGCGGGCGCCCTCGTCCTCGGCCCTTCGCCTCTAGCGGCGTGACGGCGCGCAGGGCCGCGCCTGGGGCAGTTTGTGCGATATGGTGCCCTGGAGGATGAGGCAATACAGGTTGTTGGGCAACTTCTCGCCCTGTGGCGCGCCCCCGTTGGAGGCGGACTCTCCTCTTCGCCGTCGCCCGCACGACCCTCCACCTCCACTGTTCCCTCTCTTCTGCCGCGCCCTCCTCCTCCCTCCCTCCTCGTCCTTCTCCCGCCGCCCCCCCCCACCCATGGTCGTCCTCCCCTCGCTCTTCCCGCCCTGCCTCTCTAGGTGCGCCAGACATGACACATGGGGCTTGCCTCATACTGGCTCGGCCTGTGAAAATACCGAGGGTCAGCCGACCATCGATAGACACTGTGTTTCTTTGGCGCGCAACATATTCCGAGCCGTTGGCAGACAACAACAACAGCGGCAACAGCAGCAACCACAAAACCAACCATAACTACAACAACAACGACACCACTAACAACAGCAACGGCAGCAGCAACACCAACATCACAACCACCGACAACAACGGCAACAGCAGCAACAATGGCGACGACATCATCCCCTTTCTCACACCACCACTATGCATGCTCGTCGTTCTCGTGCTGTTCCTTCTCCTCCGTACCTTCCTCCGCCACCACCTTACCCGCCTCATACGCCCCCCTTTCCTCCCTCACATCCACATCCGCCTCATCATCATGATCTTGATCATCATCGCCATCATCACCATCATCATCGTCATCATCACCATCAGCATCCTCATCAAACTCCTGATCATCATCATCATCATCATCATCATCATCATCACCATCACCATCATCATCGGCATCGTCATCACCGACATCGTCATCGACATCAGCATCAACTTCATCAGCATCAGCTTCATCAGCATCATCATCATCATCATTATCATTACCAGCGTCGCCATCATCATCAGCAGCATCGACATCGTCGTCGTCATCATCCCCAGCATCACCACCATCATCATCATCATCATCATCATCATCATCACCATCACCATCACCATCACCATTATCATCATCAGCATCACCATCATCATCATCAGCATCATCAGCATACTCAGAAGTCGTAGTATCACCATCATCATCAGTATCATCACCATCGTCATCATCATCATCGTCATCGTCATCATCATCATCATCATCATCATCATCATCATCATCATCATCATCATCATGGCCCAGGCGGCACGGGGTGATGTGGTCAAGCGGGCCTTTGAGTTTCCTCATTCTCCTCGTCCTCCTCCGCCTCCTCCTCCTCCTCCTTCTCCTTATCCTCCTCCTTATTCTCGCCCCGCGGCCGCCCCAGCAGCCCCCCGAGCGGCCATAAACCACCCCTCAATGTTTCGCCCCTGGGGGGTCACGGAGGTGGAAGCGGGCCTCTGTTTGTTGAGGACCTGCGGGGGGGCCTCTGGCGGCGTCCCAGGATGCCAACATGTGGAGAGCCAGTGTTCTGTGGCCCCAGGCGCGGGGGAAGGTGAACCAGTTGGTCTTTCTCCGTCCCAGGCTGCCCAGGAGCCTCCTCGCAAGCGAGCGCGCTTCGCCGAGGCCCCCATAGTCATCACACCCCTCTTTGTCGCTCCCGAGCGTAGGACGGCATGCTCAGGTGTCTCGGGGATCTTCTGACCCGGGTCAATCCAAACCCAAGTTAGTCAGGCCTTGCAGAATCCTTCAAGATCCTGCAAGATCCTGCACCCAAACCCGGGTCAATGCGAAAAAACCTGCAGGATCCTGCACCCAAACCCGGGTCGATGCGACCCTGGCCCTGCAAGATACTGCAAGATCGGGCGCTCTGGCTGACCCCCGTTTGCCTTGACGCGCGTCTCTTGAGCCCCGAGAGAGGAGGAGGAGGAGGAGGAGGAGGAGGAGGAGGAGGAGGAGGAGGAGGAGGAGGAGGAGGCGGAGGAGGACGAGGAGGAGGAGGAGGCTCCCGAGTGTCCACTCCGGGGTGGGTGCCGGCGAGCAGCACAGCCAGCAGCAGAGGCGCCGAAACATCGCCCGCGCGGCCGACGTGCCAGTGGAACACGCCGGGCCAGCCTGCGGCACGCGCCTCCCGGGGCCAAGGTGGTGACGGACGCCGGGAGGGAAGGCGGAGGAGACGGAGAACTGCGACGCAGAGGGGGGGGGAGGAGGGGGGGAGGAGGGCGCAGAGGGGTAAAGAGGCTGGGGCGCAGCAGGACGGGGAGGCGTAAGACAGGACGGGGAGAACATATGGGGGGGAGGAGGGTATGGAGGTACCCAGAGATCCGAGGTCGTGATTTTTTCAATGCGGGGTCCCTGGAAATCTCGACCCATTCCCCGGGACGGGTTTTTCATCCTGAATCGTTTTTTGACGGTCCCGGGGCCCGGCAAGGGCCCCTCGAGGCCGAAAAATACGAAAGACCTGCGTCTTGTCTTTTTCCCAACCCTCCTTGGTTGGGTATTCGTTTTGAATAGAGCAGTGTGGTCGCGTCCCTTCTCCCGCCCTTCCTCCTTTTCCCCTCCAGCCTCTTCCTGTCTTGCCCGCGGGGGGCTGCGATCTGTGAAACTGTCGCAATTTTCGAGGCCTGCTGGGGGGCCCAGCACAGTGAGGGCCACGGGCGGATCCAAATTAGACCTCGCCATCCCTGGGGGGCTGCGATCTGTGAAACTGTCGCCATTTTCGAGCCCTGCTGGGGGGCCAGCACAGTGAGGGCCACGGGCGGATTCAAATTAGACCTCGCCATCCCTGGGGGGCTGCGATCTGCGAAACTGTCGCCATTTTCGAGGCCTGCTGGGGGGCCCAGCACAGTGAGGGCCACGCGCGGATTCAAATTAGACCTCGCCATCCCTGGGGGGCTGCGATCTGCGAAACTGTCGCCATTTTCGAGGCCTGCTGGGGGGCCCAGCACAGTGAGGGCCACGCGCGGATTCAAATTAGACCTCGCCATCCCTGGGGGGCTGCGATCTGCGAAACTGTCGCCATTTTCGAGGCCTGCTGGGGGGCCCAGCACAGTGAGGGCCACGCGCGGATTCAAATTAGACCTCGCCATCCCTGGGGGGCTGCGATCTGCGAAACTGTCGCCATTTTCGAGGCCTGCTGGGGGGCCCAGCACAGTGAGGGCCACGCGCGGATTCAAATTAGACCTCGCCATCCCTGGGGGGCTGCGATCTGCGAAACTGTCGCCATTTTCGAGGCCTGCTGGGGGGCCCAGCACAGTGAGGGCCACGCGCGGATTCAAATTAGACCTCGCCATCCCTGGGGGGCTGCGATCTGCGAAACTGTCGCCATTTTCGAGGCCTGCTGGGGGGCCCAGCACAGTGAGGGCCACGCGCGGATTCAAATTAGACCTCGCCTCCCTGGGGGGCTGCGATCTGCGAAACTGTCGCCATTTTCGAGGCGCTGGGGGGGGGCCCAGCGCAGTGAGGGCCACGCGCGGATTCAAATTAGACCTCGCCATCCCTGGGGGGCTGCGATCTGTGAAACTGTCGCCATTTTCGAGGCCTGCTGGGGGGCCCAGCACAGTGAGGGCCACGGGCGGATTCAAATTAGACCTCGCCATCCCTGGGGGGGTGCGATCTGTGAAACTGTCGCCATTTTCGAGGCCTGCTGGGGGGCCCAGCACAGAGGGCCACGGGCGGATTCAAATTAGACCTCGCCATCCCTGGGGGGCTGCGATCTGTGAAACTGTCGCCATTTTCGAGGCCTGCTGGGGGGCCCAGCACAGTGAGGGCCACGCGCAGATTCAAATTAGACCTCGCCATCCCTGGGGGGCTGCGATCTGTGAACTGTCGCCACTTTCGAGGCCTGCTGTGATCCCCGTTTTCGAAGTGGCTAGGAGTGCTCAGGAATTGTAAATCATCAGCTTTATCAAGCCCTTTTCCTGTAGCCAGTGTCCTGCGAGTCTCCCGAATTCCGTCTGCAGACATATGTAACCCTCGCTCCGTCATCGCTCCCTTATAAAGTATCCTAAACTATTTGCGCCCCGCTTTTGCGCAGGGGTTGGGTACGTCGCCAGGGTAATTTTCAATACGTTGGATCTCTGGGTATGGGAAGGGGAGGAGGAAGAGGGTGGGGGGGAGGAGAAGGGGGGGGGGGGGGAGGAGCCGGCCGCCCTCCCGCCCCCGCCATGATCATGTGGAAGTCCCGCGGCACGGAGAGGTCCCGGCTGTTGGCCCCGGCGGCCCCGAGCGGGCGCACCGAGCCGTCCTCCCCCGGTCATTTCGGGGCGCGCGCCGCGCGCCGCGGCCGCGGGCGGGTGCCGGGGGAGGGAGGAGCCAGACCCCCTCGCGTCGTGAAAAAATCACGACGGGAGGTTTTTCGCTATTATCGCCGTCTGGAGGCCCTCACCGGGCCTCAGGACCGTCAAAAAACGACTCAGGACGAAAAACCGGTCCCGGGGAAAGGGGCCAGACCTCTGGGGGTCGACGTTGTGAAAAAATCACAACGTCGGGGGTCTGGGGAGCGGGGGACGGGGAGGAGGAGGAAGAGAGGGGGGGAGGGAGAGAGACAAGCCAGAGTGCGTCCAGGTGCCCGAACGCAAGCGCCAAAGGAAAAGGAGGGATGGGGGGGGACTGATAGCCAAGCACTATCGCGGTGGCTTGCCCTCCCGCAACCTCTTGATACAGTGCTTCTGCACCGCCAGGGTCGGGGGGTGGTCCGAGGGGCCCTTGCAGGGACGAAGAGAGGGGGGGGACCATGGGACGTACAGAGACATACTAATACGATGTGTCCTCCTCGGAGGCGCGCGTCCGACCCGAACATCTAGTATACCCAGCTTATAGTAGATCGCTTCCCGAGCGGTGCGGCCAGAAAGCGCCCGCCACGACGCATATACTAGAAGATTTCTCGGTGCGCGTGGCGCCCCTGGGGGAGCGACGCACATATGGTACTAGAACCACGCGCGCGCTTCGCGCGCGCTTAGGTTCTAGCTAGGAGGCGAGCTTGAGTCAACGAAAGTCGCAGGGAAGGGGGCAGGGGGAAGAAGGCCAGAGAGCGCTGAAGGATACAAATACTGGAACCCTCTTGTGATTTTGTGGGGGGCCTCGTCCGGCCGCTCGCTGGGAGTTTGACGTAGCTTCTCGGGAGCCTCTGAACCTGTCGGGGGCCTCCTGGAAGCAGGTTCGAAGCATTTTGGGGGCCGATTTGGGGCTTCTCGGGGCCTCCTTTGGGCCTCTTGGGGGTCTCCTGGGGCCTCTTGAGGGGCCTCCTTGGGGCCTCCTGGCGGCCTCTTGGGGCGGAAGGCTCGAGCTTGCGGTTCGTGGTCCCCCTCTGGGCCCCCTCTTGGGCCTCTTGGGGCCCTCTTGGGCCATCTTGGGCGCCTCTTGGGCCGTCTTGGGGCCCTCTTGGGCTGTCCTGGGGCCCTCTTGGAAGCTTTGGGGCGTCTTGGGGCGGTCTTGGGTGCCTCTTGGGCCGTCTTGGACGCGGCGAAAGCCCAAGAGGCGAACATGCAAAAAATATACGTTTTCCCATAGGAATGGCACGATTTTTGCTTCTTGGGCCTCTCTTGGGCTGCCTCTCGGAGCGTCTTGGAGGCTTCTGGGACCTTCTTGGTGTCATGACAGGCGTCTTGGAAGACATCTGGAGCCATCGGAGCGCGTTCCGAAGCCGCCTGCGAACGATCTTGGACGGCGTCCGGCGGTCCGACGAGCCTCCGGGCCCCCCGGAGCCCACATTTGTGGTCGGGGTCCCGGCCCCGGGCCCCCGGACCCGGTTCGCCGTTATATGTATATGCGCGCATGTACGCACGCATGCATTCCGCTTGCGTGCAGAACTCAAAGGACCAAGGTGCATGGCGCGCAGCGCCAATGCAGTCTTGTATATATATATAGCTATATATATATATATAGATGTATATATATATATATATATATCACCATATCATGCAAGCGCAGAGTGTTATTTTGCCATCCTTCGCAGCATCGCTCTACCTTTCCAGCTTGTCTTGTGTAAAGGCAATTTGGCTGCGGCCCGACACATGCTCTGATGAACGTGTCTGCCCCGTGGCGCTGGCAGCAGGCTTTGGCACCTGCACCTGGGTCCTTCGCCAAATCGGCTTCTTCACACATCGCGGACCAGTTGTCGGCACAACGTAGATTCTGTAGCGCACGCGAGGACAGGCTCGAACGCAATCTCTGCTCGAGCGGCTTGGCAACGACTGGTTGCCCGCCAAAAGGCTGCCCTGGCCGCGTCGCATCTTCAAAAAATTCTGCCCCGTGGTTAGAACAGCGCCGCGCGAGGCGCTGTTCAGACCAGCAATCGGGCCCTTGGCCAAATCGGCCTATTCCAACAGCACGCATGCGGAAAATAAGGGGGGCAGTGGAGGGGGAGACGAGCATCCGGAACACATGGAAATATGGTGAATCTTGGGACTTGCGTCTATTTGTGTGTGTGTCTTGGGGTCCCTTCACCCCACTCCTCCTGCCCATCCTGTTCTGGATTCTCTTGGCCTCGAAAAGGCCGGCCTCTCCCTGGTCCGTGCGAGAGGAGAGGCCATGACGCGTCCGTCCAGTTCACTCCGAAGAGGACTCGGACTCATGTGCGTCTGCTTTTGTCTGACTCAGTTAAACGGCTCGTCAGGCCCGCACACAGCAACCTCCTCCCCATCCTGCGTCTCGTTCCATCTCATCATGCCTCCTCCCCCTCCCCCCCGTCCTTCCTCATCCCCGCCCCGCAAGGCAGACCAGATGGCATCGTACCATGGAGTGTTCGATCACCTGGACGCCGATGGCGCCGCCCGGGGAGTGGGGCTATTGGGCGCGCAGCACGCAGAGTCTCGAGAGCGCGCCCATGTAATGTGCAGCGAACTCAGAAGCACTTCAAGCAGCGGATCCCCCGCTTCTTGAACGACGCCCTCCAACTATGAACGTCGGAAATCGCAACGGATACGTACGGATGTATTGAAGAACTGTGTCTGTGCACCCTTCGGGTCGTGCAGCAGCGTCGCTCTCGGCAACGCTCCATCCCAACAAAAAACGCACTCTCCTACTAGTACCAACTTCATGGCCTGTGGCAAAGTCACCTCCAAGCAACCCATAGCAAAACTAAAGGCCAAGAATTGCACGACTTGGCGGGCAATTCTCAATCCCGCTTAAATCGTTCAATTGCTTATGTACGCAATTGCAATTTTGCGCGGGAGGCGCCCGCGAAATCGCCGCCATTGGGGCCACTGGCCCGGGTCGGCATGAAAGACAGTCGTTAGGAGATTAAACATCAAGATGAGGGGGCGATGCCCTGCCATGACTCGCCACAATCTAGCTGTCGCATTGAATTGATCGAATGATAAAGAAGGAACGAATAGCCTATAGCTAGCAATCTTGGCAACGAAGGAAAATCTCAATCGAATTGATGCCTCACGCGATGTCCGACAAGCAAACATGCCCATTCGGGGCCCACGGGGCAAAACAATGCACTCCCGGCTGTCTCCTGTAGGCCCCCGCGGCCTCGGACTCCGCCCAGCTGCTCGCCAACCTCAGCACGACAACGATGCCACCATGACAGGACTGGCTCAGGATGCGCTCCAGGATCTCCACGGATGTCCAGCGGCCCCCGCTCCTGCAGGCCGTGGGGAGGACTCGGGGATCTTGGAACGCCTGGACGTCTTGGCACGTATCAACGCCACGAACCCTGACGCTCCCCTGACGCTGTACAGAGCTCCTCGACCTCAGCAGCTGCCCGCGCCGCGTGGCGCGGAAGCCCACTGCCCCTCGCCGACAGCGACCTGCCGGCCATGCTGGGGCGGCACCGCGCGGGCGCCTCCCCCCGCGGCCGTGGGGGCAGCCCAGCTGGCACGCCGCCGCGCGGACCCGGGCCGGTGCCGCACGGGGCCCCCCTACAACCATCGAGATCGGGCGGCGCGCTTGGCGGGAAGGGCTCGCCGGTGGGGCGGACGACGCCCGGCCAAGTGGGGGGCCGATCGGCCTCGCCGGCGACGGCGCTGGGCAGACGGAGTCCCGCGGCCGCCGCGGAGAGCTCTGGGGACATCGCGAAGAGGTCTGAGGTCGACTCGGTGTCGCTCGTGTGGTCGCTCGCTGCCGAGCTGCCGGCCAGCTCCATTCTGGGCCACGGCCCGGGCGCCGTGAACTCCTCCGCAGCGTGCCAGCTGGGCGTGCCGCTGCCGGGGCGAGGATCGGAGATCCCCGTGACGAACTTCTCCACCTCGGGAAGGTGCTCGAAAGCCTTTTGAGCTCGAGGCTCGGAAGGACGAAGCCCCAGGGGCCTATGGATCCTGCCGCGGACGAGGACGTCGGAGCCCAGCGCGGCCCTGCCGTGGCCGCCGAGCGGTCTGCGCAGAGGGGGGCGCTGGAGCCGCTCGCCCACGCCGGGGCGCCCGCGGGCCGTGCTGGGGTGCGAAGGTGGCCTCGGTGCGGGCGCTGCGCTGGATGCCTCCGCCCACGCCAGCGCCGGCCTCGGTCGCGGAAACGGATTGCTGACGGCCGGGAGGTGGACGCCTGCGAGGCTCGACATCCTTGCGGTGCGTGGCGTGTACTGCGCAGGGCGCTCACTACGCTGTTGCAGTGGAGGCAGAAGCACGTCTTGAGCCAAAATGGCTACGGACATGCAAGCGCACAATATGAGCAACATGCGCAAACATTGCGCTCTAGCACCGTGAGCGAACGTCACGTGGTACTCGGTACCCTATGTACTGTAGTAGGGCGCAAGGCCCGCCGCCCGAACCTTCCACAGAACTACACCCTCGCGGCAGAAGACCCTACACAACAATACATAATCCGCCAGCCCCCTTGTGGGGCCATCAGGCTGCGAGGGCCAGGTGGTTTCAGTACCCTGTGCCAGTTCGCTTTCTGTTTCATAATGTAAATTGTTGAAGTCCGCGCGACGGGGGGGAGCCGAAAAGCATCCAGTTGGGACACGTGAAAATGCATGAGTCGTGCTCCCGACGCCACGATCCCTTGTAAATTACACTGTAGTCGCGCCCCCGAAGCAACGATCCCTTGCAAATTGCACCACGTTCGCGCCCCCGAAGCCACGATCTCATGCAAATTACACTACATTTGCGCCCCTGAGGCCACGATGCCATGCAAATTACTCCACATTCGCGCTCCCGACGCCACGATCCTTCGCAAATTACGCCGCGCTCGCGTCCCCGCGACCACGATCCCTTGCAACCTGCGCAACTTTCGCGTTCCCGAAGCCACGATCCAGTGGAAAATACTTTATAATCGCGCTCCCGAGGCCACGATCTCCCGTAA